TGTGTATCCAGAGCAATACTAAGCTGAGTAAGACTCAGAGTCCGAGTACCGATGCAGAGATAGCATAAATGAGTTGATTAGAATATGCTTCTGCCGTTGGATCGATCATGTACGCTATGACTTGTTCTCGCCCTGATGTGGCTTTTTCCCTGAGCATGGTTAGTCGATATCAAGGGAACCCAGGTAAAGCTCACTGAAGAGCAATTAAGAACATTCTTAAGTATCTACGAAGGACTAAGGACTAGGTCCTTATACTTGGTCGCAGTGATGACTTGAGAGTTACTGGTTATAGTGACGCCAGTTTTTCAGACAGACCATGACAACTTCCGTTCTCAGTCTATTTGTGTGTTTATACTCAATGGAGGAGCAGTAACTTGGAAAAGTTCCAAGCAGGGGACCGTGGCTGATTCAACGTGTGAGTCAGAGTATATATCCGTTAGCGAAGCGTCAAAGGAGGCTATATGGTTGAAGAACTTCATTGGAGTCCTTGGAGTTGTGCCAGCCATAAAGGAGCCCATGGAGATTTTCTACGATAATGAAGGAGCGGTTTCCTTAACCAAGGAACCAAGGGATCATAGAAGATCCAAACATATCGACAGAAAATACCACTTCATCAGACATCGGGTAGAAGAAGGACTCCTCGTCATCAAGAGGGTATCATCAGAACAGAATCCTGAAGATCCCCTCACAAAGGGTCTGAGTAGGATTAGACACATTCATCATGCGAGGAGCATTGGTCTGAAGGATGATATTAGTTTTAGTGATTAGATAGATATTTTAGAAACTTGTAATAGATAAATGTAATTGACATTTGATGATTAATTAATGGTGATTTATTTATGAATATTGTTTACTATCTTTTGTCAATTGTTTATCTTGTGTTTCAACCTTTGCATTTTTTATTTCTAAAATAATTGGATTGTTCAAATTATCCACAGTCGATCATACTTTGGAAGTAAGTATTGAATTATGACTGACATGAATTGGCTTGTAGATTGTCTAAAAGTTTATACATTGCAATGGTTTGTTGCAACGTTCATGAGTACTCCTGAAATGAGGATTTGAGTATTAGATTAAACCCACGCTTATAGAATTACTTCATGGCATTTATCACTAGTGATTATGAGACGATAATATCATATAATATTAAAACCGAGATATACGAGTTGTTGTTTACGAGTTGGTTGTGCATTGATATTGCTTAAACGCATCAGTAGCTTGATGTTATAAAACGTATTGTTGTGTACGACTTGATGAGTAAATAGTATAAACATATGAGTCAAAGTTTATATGTTCCTTTTATCCCAAGGGGTAAAAGCTATATCTTGGGCCCCTCCACGATTTAGTGTTGACTTATGTGTCGGGCCCGTCAGGACTGAATTGATGTGTTCAATTATGTTCCTTGTCATACAAATCAGAAATCGGGAAAAAAACTATTGTACATTGAGAATGATTCTATTCCATGTCTTTGTCCACATGATCTCTTATAGAACGGAGGATTTTATGATCCCTTCTCTAAGGACACACAACTGACTAGGTCAGAGTTTGACAGCGGCTTTTCAAAGCTACGATTGCTACTTAAATTTCGAAGTCATACTTGCAGTTATAGTTATTAGACTTATCAAAGTGGGAGACTGTTGGATTCGGTATCTAAGCCCATAACTACAATTGGTATGTACTTGATTTGATAGTAGCATGGTCCTTTTGGATTGCCTTCACCTTAGCAACTTGACAGGATAACTATTGGAGAAAGAGGTTGGATTTATTATTTGGAATAATAAATTGATTTATTAATGTGTTATGAAAATAATATATTAATTAGAAATCATGTTATTTAATTAGTATTTAATCAGAAATTAATTTGGAATTAATTTCGGGATTAAAGGAATAGATTAAAGGAACAGGGGCTGTTTTGCAAATCATTGATAGTTGTGAAACTGGGATGATGGACTCCTTAATTAGTAGTGGACGAAATCTTATAGGGAGGCCCTATAGATTTCGTCCAAGGCTTCTTAGTGGGAAGTCCATGGGTTGCTTAGGCCTTAAGAAGGAAATTAGGGTTTCCTCCAGAAACCGTAGCACCCCTATGCTATATAAGGAGCCCCTTGGCTTAGGATTTTCGGCCAATGCTTGCATCCAGTAACCCATAGCCAAAATTCTAAGTGCTTCCCTCCTCTATTCTCTCATCCTTTTGCTAGTGGTGTTTGTAAGCCATTAGAGGTGCATCATTTGAGGCACTAAGCTATCAAGAGTCAAGGATCCACAAGGAGTTCTTGTTATTACTACATAACAAGTAAGGTAATCATCAAAACCCTTTTGATTTGTAATTTTCGAAATTATATATGCTTGATCTAGGGTTTTTCTTTGGCATTCAATTTTCATGTTCAACTAGTGAAAAAATTTGATCCAAAGCAATTAGGGTTGCCTGAACATATAGGTTGTTCTTATGCTCAAAACCCATCAATTTTCCTATCATCCCTAGATTTAGAAGAATGTTTTCAATACCGCAAATTTCACATGACTTAACTTGGCATGCACAAGGTCCGGTCAATAATGGGAACCTTACTTATCCTCGTGATACCCCTTCTTGGAAGCTTGTTAATAACACGTGGAAAGAATTCAAACATAAAAAAAATGAAATCTTAGATTAGCCTTGTCTGCTGATGGTATCAATCGTCACAAGTCTTTAAGTTCCAAGCATAGTTGTTGGCCAGTTATCCTAATAACATATAATCTACCACCTTATTTGTGTATGTCAAGAAAATTCATGATGTTGACTCTGTTGATATCAGGCCCAAACCAACCTGGTAACAATATTGATGTCTACTTGGCACCATTGATAGAAGATCTAAAACTCTTGTGGGAAACTGGCATTGAGACTTTTGGTTCTTATAAGAAAGAATACTTCAATCTAAGAGCAATATTACTTTGGACTATAACTGACTTTCCCGCATATGGTAATCTTTCAGGGTGTGTTACCAAAGGTTATTATGCTTGTCCAATATGTTCAAAGAATATTTGTTGACAATGGTTGCCAAATTCCAAAAAAGTATACTTCCTTGGGCATAGAAGATTCCTCCCACTTGAATATCCTTTTCGTAAAAGAAAAAAACATTTCAACAATCAACAGGAGTACAATTTTATGCCATAACCATCATCAGGTGAAGATATTTATGAGTATCTGGCGGGATTTGAGAGTACATGGGGTAAGAAGATAAAGTCAAATAAGATAGGATCAATGAAGATAAAGTTAAAGAAGATAAAGTCAAAGAAGAAAAAAGAAAGTATCGATGAGAGATCTAAATTTTGGCATAAAACATCGATTTTTTTAACTTGAATATTGGGAGAAGTTGTCTGTTCGTCATCAATTTGATCTCATGCACATAGAAAAAAATGTGATCGAGAGTGTTTATGAGACAATGTTGAATTTGCCTCACAAGACGAAGGATGGATTAAAAGCACGACAAGATCTTGAAGCGTTGGGCATTAAGCCTGAATTAAAATCTCAGCCAAAAGGGGATCGACATTGGCTTCCGCCTGCATGCTACACATTGAAATCCGCAGAGAAACATCTATTTTATGATACCCTGTCTAACATAAAACTGCCTCATGGGTATTGCTCTAATTTCAAGAATCTCGTGTCGGATGATGTTTCAAAGATGAATGGTTTGAAGTCTAATGATTGTCATGTACTAATGCAACAACTTCTCCATTTTTCAATCAAAGGGGTGTTAGACGTGAAGGTGCAGAGAAAAATCCTAAGTTTGTGTTATTTTTTCAATGAGTTGTGTAGTAAAGTTGTTGATGTTAGTAAGCTAGGCAAGTTGCAAAGTGACATCGCATTAACATTATGTTTGTTAGAGAAGTACTTTCCTCCTTCTTTTTTCGATGTCATGATGCACTTGATGGTGCATTTAGTTAGAGAGGTGAGGTTGTGTGGCCCGATTCATTGTAGGTGGATGTATCCATTTGGGAGATACATGAAAACACTTAAAGGGTATGTAAGAAATCATCATCGACCCGAGGGTTGCATTGCAGAGTGTTATGTGGTAGAGGAGGCCTTAGAATGTTGTTCAGACTACTTAAAAACATGAAATCAATTGGAAATCCTCATGAACGCGTTGATGAAAGAATCCGCAGCGACAAGCCTTTATCAAAGGCTACAATCGATGTTGTAGATGCTAAGTTACTTGATCAAGCTCATCTTTATGTATTACGAAACACTGCTGTTGTGGAGCCATATATGGAGTAAGAATTACATTAAACTGTATACTTTTTTACCATTATCTATCATATAAAACATTCTTCTAACTTCTAATACGCTTCAGGCAACATATGTTGGAATTGAAGGATCTCAACCCCCGTGACTCTCGCAAGAGTACATGGTTGCAGAGCCAACACAGTCGGTCATTTATTAGTTGGTTTAAGAAAGAGGTTTATTTTTAAAATAAGCTTGTTAGAATCACAATATTTTTCGTTATTTTGTTTGAATTACATTAATTGGATATTTTTCTAATAAGTTGAAAAATGTTTTGCTAACGGGGAAGATATTTGTGACGATGTTCGTTGGCTGGCCAAAGGGCCTAATTTTTCTGTTAGTAAATATAACAGTTTTTCCATAAATGAGTATCATATTCATACAACATCTCGAGATGATTCTAGAACAACTCAATGCAGTGGAGTATCTTTAATTGCATATATTATGCAGATTGCTAGTGCAAAAGACTCCAATCATGTGTATGGTGTTGTTACTTACTTCGGTCGTATAAAGGAGATATGGGATCTTGATTATTGCATGTTTACTATTCATGCATTCATGTGTTATTGGATTGATAGTCGTGGAGTTAAAAAAATGAAGAACTAGGCTTCACAATAGTTAACTTTGATAGGCTTGGTCAGAAGTCTGAACCCTTCGTATTAGCTAGTCAAGTCAAACAAGTTTTTTATGTTTAAGATCAACAAGATGAGAATTTGCATGTGTTGGATTCACACCACATAAGATGTACAAGTATGGATCAAATGATGAAACTGATGATATCTTGGAATTTGATGCTACTTTTGATTTAACACAAGACTCCGCTTTATTAAACCTTAACGATGATCTTTATGCGCTTGGATGGTGAGGGCATATTAGTTTAAATATTTTTTTGCAGAATAATAAAGTTTTTGGTATGTTTTTTTTATATCTTGAATCTGATTAATTTTTTTCCAACTGCAAGAAATAACAGTGTACTTAATTTTGTTCTAATCTTGTTGAAACAGGTTGTTTTTTGTGACATGGAATCGGATTCTGCTTCTAATCATGATGAGGACTCCAAACAAAGAGGTCCGACAACAAAAGCAAAATCTAAGTTCACGAAACTTGTAATAAGTTACAATAAAAAAGGTGTCCCAGTTGGAAAGGAAGCCCCAAAACTATCTACTTTTGAGGGTTTGGTTGCAAGAACAGTGGTTCCCATAACTTATGAGTCTTCGTTGGAAGTTAGTGACGAAGCAAGGGAAGAGTTATGGTAATATGTTTTGGTAAGTCTAATATCTGATCTTAACTTCAAGTTATCTTTTTTTTTGTTTGTTGAAAATAATACTGTTTGTTTAATTTTTCAGGAAAAATTTGTAATTGACCCAAAGGGCCGGAAGCAAACTCTCCAATCGATCGGGAAGAAATGGAGAAACTTCAACATTATCTATATGCCAAGTTCATTAAGAACCGAAGTAAAGATCCTAAGGAAAATTTACTCAAACCTCTAAAGGTTTATCCGTTTATAAAGAAAGAATATTGGAAAGTTTTTATATCCCATAGAGTTACAAAAAAGTGGGAGGTTTGTTAAACTTTTCGTATATGCATTTGTTCAATGAAATTTTTTGTATCCCAAAGAGTTACAATTTTAATATTTCTAATGTAGGACAAAAGTATGAAAGCTAAAAATGTTTGTGCACATCATAAATACAATCATCGTTTGATCAGAAAAGGATATGTCAGACTCATTAATGACATTGTATGAATCCCACTAAGTATTGATTATTTTACTTTTATATATTTATGTTAATGGACTTTTTTATTCTTGATAATTTAGATGCAAGAAACCGACAAGACGGAACAGAAGATTGATAGGAGAATGTTCTGGAAAAAAGCAAGAGAATTGAAGACAGGAGGATACGAATCAGATGTCAAGATGATTGTTGATAGAATTGTAAGTTTCATTGAATGTCAAATAACATGAATCTGTCCACAAATTCACACACAATCTGTCCCTTTTTTTTTAACCATTTGTCCCATTTTTTTACAGGATGAGTTGCAGAAATCGGGAACAGCCTGGGCGTGTATGAGGGATGGGTAAATTTATAACGCCACAACAATACTTTTATTAACCCAAGAATGTTAAGAATTACTTGGAGATTGAGAACGAGAGGGTGGATAAACGAATCAAAAAACTTGAAGATGACTTGGAGAAACTAACAAGAGGTGTAATTAATGTTTTTGAAGCTACAAGTTGCCAAGTAGGGGACGTCATTGAAGATGTTGAAAAAGAACCACCGGAAGAATCACATATAAGTCCACTTATGAAAAATAATTTTAAAGTATTTTCTTTTTCTACAAACTAACATATTTTATTTTGGTAGGATAATTCATGTCTTCTTGCGGTTGACTTTGCCGCAAATGTAGTCACTAAAGGAACCATAATGAAGTATAGTGGCTCGGGTATAATGAAAAATATTTGCATTATTACTATTTATATATTTTCATTTTTTAGAAATTTGGATCTTAATTATTTTCTATGCTTATGTAATAGATGAAAACATTCAAGTTATGATGGAAACAATTCTACAATGAGAAGTTTTACTACCCATTCCACTTGAAGAGGAGTTCATTGTAAAGGTCAAAGATGCACTTGGATACATACTAAGTTGGCAAAGAAACTTATTTATTCGATGCTCTGACCTGGTAATACACCTTGACCATTTAGTTAAAGCTAAACTTTGTTGATATTTGTTAAAGATGTTTATCCAGACATGCACCATGTTCCTGTTTTGACAAGTGTACTAAAACCAGTGAAACAACTTCCTGTTTCCTGTTAAACTTTGTTGATATTTGTTAAAGGTGTTAAACTTTGTTGATATTTGTACAATATTATTGCTAGTATTTGTTTAATGAATTAAAAAAAAAACCAGTGAAACAACTTCGTGTTTTATGTTTCAATTTAAGTTTCCTGCTTGTTGTTTCCTTTTTCAGCTTATGTTGTAGCTTATGTTTTGGATTTCATTCTATTTTTTTATATTTTTTGTATGGAAAAGTGGTGGCGAAACCTATGAAAAAACATGCAACACCAGTGAAAAAAGATGCAACACCAGTGAAAAAAGAGGCACCTTTAAAAGAAGAAATAAGAAATAATAAGAAAGAAAAGGGGATAGGAAAAAAGGTTGATAAGGAAGAAAGGAATGGAGCAGAAAAGAAGAGTAAAAAGAAGGAAGAAGGGAATGTGACCGTGCAAAGAAGGTGGACCAGAGCACAGATGAAGACAAGGATAAGAATTGATAAGCGTACTATTTTGAAAATGACTGAATGATGGCTGATGGACAAGTTACAAAGGTTGATTCTATAAAAGTGCAGAGTGAGAACGATCGTTTTGGGTACGATAGTTACACGTAATTAAATTGGGATGATTTTGAAGCAATTCTTACAATGGATGAGATAACAGGTGCTGTCATTGTGTCTTATATGATGTAAGTGCAAGAAATTTAATTTAATTGTTGTTCTGGATCAAAAATTTGTTTAATCAATTTAGTGTTTGTATGATGACAGGGTGTTGTTTACCTAAATCAAGTATGGCAGGCTAGAAAGAGATCATGGAATTTTCTTTGTGAACCCGGTTGTAATCTCACCAAGTACACGTAAAGGGAAATCTAAGAATATTGATGATGCAAGTAAAGGTGTTCCAGATCGGTTGTCTACTAGAAATGGCAATGGCATCATCCTATTGCCCTACAATCCCGGGTTTGATTTTTCCGTTTTATTTTGAAAATGACTACAGTTAAGTTATTGGACTTAATTTTGTTTGTGGTTTTTGTAGAAGACATTGGGTGTTGGATGTACTAGACATGAAATTGGATACTTGCTATTATCTCAGATTCCTTGAGTTTTGGAAATTTCAACATGCAGTTGAAGCAAATTGTTGATTCGTAAGTAATATAAATTAGCAAAACATTTGATGTGGATACAATAAATACCTATTTGTTAATGTTTTTATAGGGCAATGGTTATGTATGCTACACAAAGTGGATCCAACAAGAGGGTTAAACTAAATTGGGTCAATTTTACGGTCAGCACTAAATTTCCTTATTGAAATTGCAGCTCTAACTTTATTTTTTGGATCAATTGCAATGATCATTTATATGTAATTGTGTAGTGTCCAGTTCAGCCCGGATCTACCGAATGTGGCTACAACATGTTAAGGTTCATGAAGGAGATAGTTGAGGAAGGATTGAAGTGTTGGTCAAAGACAATGTAAGGATATAATATTCTACTTTCACTACTATAATAATTTAATAGGAAAGGAATTGAAAAAGGATCCTTTTATGGCATCCTACTCTCAGAAATATAATTGAAATATTAGGTTACATGCAAAAATAACAATGTGCTTTCATTCTTTTGAAAGTACAATGCTGTATTAAGAAAGAAAAATTTACATTTTATGTTTATTTGTTAAATATAGCAACTCACTGTTAAAGAATATGTTAATATGCAATTTTTTTATAATAGAAACAATATGCAAATTTTTTCTCAGGTCGGGGGTGGCAAAGTTGAGTACACCGACGATGATGTCGATGAAATACGTGAAGAATGGTCGGAGTTTGTTACCGGCTTCATTTACCGTGATATTTTGTATCTGCAAAACAATATTTTTGTTAACAGTTAAATGTTATTTGTTAACTTTTTGAAATGTTACTTAGCATCCTTATTTAACATGTAGTGTTGTTTGACATGTAATGTTAAGTAACTTGTTTGACAATTAGATGAAATTGAATGTTTTGGTATATATTTGTTTTTTATTATGTTTATTCACGTTGTAAATGCGTATCGTAAACGCATGTCGGAAATGTGCATCGTCACTCGCAGCTGAAGTTTATGACACATAAATGTGTGTCATCTTCATTTATGACAATGGATTTAATGATACATATTACGTGTCACAAACGTGCTTCGTAAGGTTATGACACACACGGGCGTGTCGTCTTTCTTTATGATAGGGGCTTCCTTTATACGCATTGTGTGTCATAAATGCACGTCGTAAGGTTACGACACGCACGTGCGTGTCGTCTTACTTTATGACAGGGGCTTCCTTGATACGCATTGCGTGTCATAAAGGAGCGTCGTAAATGCGTGTCATAAATGCACGTCGTAAATTCATGTCATTAATGCACGTCGTAAATGTGTTTCATAAATAGACGACACACTAATACGTATCATCTTTCGTTATGACAGGGCCTTCCTTGACACGCATTTGCGCGTCGTCTGAGCGTTTTACGATATGCATTGCGCGTCGTAAAATGGTATTTTTGTAGTAGCGTTAGGAATATGTAATAAATGGGTTTAACTAATCGATTATGTAGAATGTAAAATTGAAAAGAATCATGTCATTAATAATTAGATATTGAATAAGGAGATTGATTATGAGAGGGATTGCAAACAGTTATTTTCATAATATAGTCATAAGTTAATTTTTTTTTAAATTTTTAAATATATTATCTTTCATTCGATTAAATATTTATATATATATATATATATATATATGTGTGTGGTGTGTGTGTGTGTGTGTGTGAATTTATAGCTTTTAGAAATATATACATGTAATTTGAAGTTTTAAAAGGATATAGATAGTTGAATTAAGAGCAAAGTCCTTAATAGAATGACTTTTGGAGAGAGAGGACGATTTATTAATTTATTCATAAATTAATTAGAAATTAAAATAAATAACTTATTAATACATTATATGATTAATATATTAATTAGAAGTTATATTTATTAATTAAGAATTAATCGAAATATCATTAGATTTAATTTTATGATTAAATAAATTAATTGAAAATATAGGGACTGACGGTGACAATGTTCAAAAGTTGATCATTGAAGGATTCCAGAACCTTCCCACATAGGGGGAGGGTTTTGGAGGCTTCATATAGTTTCTAGGATCCTTAGGAAGCAAGAAAAGGGATACAGGTTATATAATGATATTTGCATTATTTAAACTTCTTTACTCATCTATATAAACCCCTTAAGGGTTCATTGATTTCGTCCATCCCATTACATTCACAAGAGCCGAAAATTTACTCTCATCTCCACTATTGTTTCCGAAAATAGGGAGAATTGGTTAGGGTTTCTAGCTTCCTTAATTATAATTTTAAATGCCTTAAAATTTAGATAATTAAAACTTGGTAACCCTTACCGTTTTTTCGAACATTGGAAGACAAGAGATTAAAATTAAATTTGAATTATTTAACTAATTGTTTAATTGGTAAATAATTATTTAATTCATATGATTTCATAAATTGTTTCATTGGTAAATAATATGATTTGAATTTATTTAATTAATATTTTAATTAAGATAAAAGATTAAATCATCATTTAGTTTAAAATTAATTAATTATTAATGGCTTAATTTGAAAATTAATTTTAAACTCTAGTCTTTTGAAAATTTTAAAATACACCTTATACTATATATGATTAAATCTTAATATATTCTATGTATAATACGAGTCAGTCAAATCAATAGTAGGCCTCATTCATGAATTCATATTCTAAAGTGGGTATAAGGATAACGACCTATAAAATGAACGTTGAATGGGTGTTCACTCTCAGCCACCGCTTCCTTGTATAGTGGAGGGTCGTTAGCTGAACAGGTTTGATATAACATAACCTCTAAAAGTATGATACCGTAAAGTAACAAAACCTTTTATAAATCCCAACTTTAGTTAATTTAGGTCAAAATGTGAAGTATATGATAATCCATGAAAACACACATGAATCTTCATATGTTATTAGTCGAGCATGTGTGGTTAACAAACACACTAATTTGCGACTATAAAGTTGAAGCATTGACAGATTGAAAATTGTCATTGTTGATGGAGTGCATGTGGTTTACCGTCCTAAATTTGGGATGCTAAATGACCTCAAGGTTGTCAAGCGGGTTTGCATGGTTATCCACATCTTATTTTTGATACTCGACATCCCAGTCACAAACTTGAAGCACATATTTTGAAATTAAACATGTCATTGATAAGATTCAATGAATCTCAAAATGATATAGGAATTTCATGTAAGATTGAAATTGGTAAATTTGTGTGACCTACCCTAAAAAATCCGCAATTAGATTATGTAATCCCTCTTATATGTTGTCAATTATATATTGGGTTAAAATATTAAGGATTTATATCACTAACTAAAAACTTTGTCTCTTTATATAGATGTCTGGAAACGGTGATCTCGCTACTACTTATTCCACCCCTCCAACTCAAACTTCTCACTACTCTCTATTCTATCAAAAGAGAAGATCACTAGTCCCAACTACATGGACTGGATGAGGAATTTGAAGACGACTCTTCGATTTGAGGAAAAAGAGTATATCCTTGAGAAGCCTCTTGTTGAAATCGATCATTTCACTGCTACTAGTGAAGAAATCACCTCATACAACAAACATTCTGATGACGCCACCAAGGTTGCACGCATCATGGTGGCCACTATAGCACCTGAGTTGGCCAAGTTCTATGAGGACTACTGACCGTATGAGATGACTCTCAACCTTACTAGAATGTTTCACAAGAATGCAAGAGAATAGCTCTTTGAAGTGGTCAAATATCTTATGGCATGCAAGCTCAAGGAGTGAGAATCTGTTTGCCCTCACGTTTAAAAGATGCAAAGGTTCGTGGAGCAACTATAAAGGCTCAATGTATCCTTTGACGAGGATTTGGCTATTTCCATGGTCCTTAACTCCTTTCCTCCTAGTTATGATCAGTTCGTTATGACTTATCATTTGAACTACATAGAGACGGTACTGACCCGACACCATAACTTGTTGCAAACTGCAAAGTCAAGGATGAAGAAAAATCATCCCCAATTTGCAACAAGTGCTCATGTCCTGGAAATTGGATCTGGAAAAGGGAATAAGAGGAAGGCTCATTACCAATCCAACATGAAAGGGAAGTCCCATATCGGAGGGTCTAACAGTGGTCCAAGTCGAAGTCTAACTTTTACGTCCCTGCGATTAGTGATCTAAAAGAAGCCACTTCCTTCTATAGTGGCGAAAAGGGTCATTGGAGAAGAAGCTGCCCGAAATCCTTACAAGACTTGAAACATGGTAAAATTAAGGTGTCATCTTCAGTTATTTACACTATTCAAGTTAATAACACACGACTTTTTCATTCTTGTGTCCTTGATACAGGATGTGGTTTACACATTTCTTCTTATTTGCAGGGACTAAGAGAAAATGAGGAAGTGGAGCATGGAAGCATGAAACTGGTCATGGGGAATAGGCGATATTAACTTGTAACCAAGATTGGGACTTATGAACATGTGCTCCGTAGTGATGTTAAGGTTATTTGATTAATTGATGTTATTTGACTGATATGACGTGAAACATTATTTTTATATAACGCATTGTTCAGATAAGGTTTTAGATATTCATTTGATAATGATATTGGATCTATTTCTACTTTTCACTATGGTGTTTTTTTGTTTAAAGCTTTACCTTGTAATGGTGTGTATGAAACTGTGACTTGTGTGGATAACCTAGGAAATATTGTGTTTCATACTGATTCGTCCAATGGTGTGGACAAGGCATGTTTGTGGCATTGTTGTCTTAGGAACATAAACACAAAATGCATCACACAACTCTAAAAGGATGGAGTATTGGAAAAGTTTGATCTTAGGACAGATGATGAATGTGAGTCTTGTTTCTTGGGAAAAATGACAAAGTTACCTTTCACTAGATCATGTGAAAGAGGTGAAGGATATTAGACCTTATCCACACGGATGTTTGTGGCCCATTTAGATCCACCATAAAGGATCCAATAGTTTGGACATGGTCCTTAACTCCTTTCCTCCTAGTTATGATCAGTTCATTGTGACTTATCATTTAAACTACATGGAGACGACATTGACCCGGCCATAACTTGTTCCAAACTGCAAAGTCAAGGATGAAGAAAAATCATGCCCAATCTGCAACAAGTGCTCCTGTCCTGGACATTGGATCTGGAAAAGGGAATAAGAGGAAGGCTCATGAGTCATGTCCAATCCAACAGGAAAGGGAAGGCCCATGCCGAAGGGTCTAACAATGGTCCAAGTCAAAGTATAACTTTTACGTACCTGCGATTAGTGATCGAAAAGAAGCCACTTGCTTTTATATTGGCAAAAAGGGTCATTAGAGAAGAAACTGCCCGAAATACTTACAAGACTTGAAGGATGGTACAATTAAGACGTCCTCTTCAGTTATTTATACTATTCAAGTTAATAACACACAACTTTTTCATTCATGCGTCCTTGATATAGGATGTGGTTTCCACATTTCTTATTATTTGCAGGGACTAAGAGAAAATGAGGAAGTGGAGCATGGAATGTTGAACCTGGTCATGGGGAATAGGCGATATTAACTTGTAACCAAGATTGGTACTTATGAACATGTGCTCAGTAGTGATGTTAGGGTTATTTGATTAATTGTTATTATTAGGCGGATATGACGTGAAACATTGTTTCATATAACGCATTGTTCAGATAAGGTTTTAGATATTTATTTGATATTGATATTGGATCTATTTCTAGTTTTCACAATGGTTATTTTTTATGTTTAAAGCTTTACCTTGTAATGGTGTGTATGAAAGTGTGACATGTGTGGATAACCTAGGCAATAGTATGTTTCATACTGAT